TTCGTCAAGTGCAGATTTCAATGCTCTATTTTGTTCTGAAAACTTCTTGATTTGTTCAAGTAGGTCATCTGTCAAGGAGCTTAACTATAAAGAAACATTAGATATAGGAATAAAAATGGATATCAACAAAAGGATAAGGTTCCCATACATACATACCTATACGCACATCTTGTTTGTTCATATAATTAAGTATAAGAGAGTAATGTAATCTTCCCTATAGAAGTTCGAAAAGTTTTATTTCAGATTTCTGATGGAATTCTTTCGAAGTTTTCTGTTTTTACTGTAGTGTGATGAACCTACGGGCGAAATTTCGACGTTATCATTTTGCGTATATATATTATTCCAACGAATATTACTTGTACTGTTTCATTAAGTCAGTATTCCAGTTGATGCTGGTCTGAATTGTAAACTTCTGCAAAATTAAGATTTCTGAAAATCCGTTACTGAAGTCTTATAGTTGTACATCACGAAGTAACTTTAGTCAAGTATTCATAAAAACCAGGAAACTACTGGAAAGAATTTTTGTCCGAGTATGGGACTTTTGGGTAGTATTGTCTCTCCAATCCCATCAGGGGTTGAATACACAACCTTTTGTGTTTGCCGCAATGTGCGTGAGAGATCCTGTATTGATCAGATACATCAATAAACAGCGGATATTATTAAAATTCCAATACTATTTCTGTCTTGTCCACTTAGTAATTAGTGATCGAATTCTATCGATCACACTGTAATATGATCACTTGGCGATCAGTCAGTTGTAAATAGCTTAGTTGCACAAAAGATTAATATAAAAATATATAGTTCAATGGTAATACTTCACGCTGTAAATTTTAATGACGTAAGTTCGAATCCCACTGTAATAATAAATTCCTTCAAGATTTCAGGTGAAATTTGATGATGAATGTCAACTAGCATGAAATCCAAGTGAAATAGGATTTTCTATCGAATACATTCAACTAAACAACATTAAAATTCCATTAATGACCGATATCACTGATATGAAAACGTCATTGTTATGTATCCGATCCTGTTGTTGAATACTTGGGATCAGGAATCACTAAACTTTCTCCAATGTAAAGTAAAAAAACACGAAAGACTAATACCAATGAAGATTTAATAACACTCCAACATACACTATTACTGTAGTCACACGGTATACATCTTTGTATTTCAACATGAAAGGTGTAATTCAGCCAATGCAATTAGGAACACAACCATGGTAGATGAGAATTTGTTTACTAGTCAAAATAAGTTTAAGTAAATAAGTGAATACAATACGTTTTATATGATTTGTACTTGATCAACATTACAGTAAGTAATACTTCAATTCATACGTCGATCTAAGCTAGATCACTATTGAAAACCTGGAAGCACTAAATGGTTGTTTCGTTCTATTATAGGACTCCTCGACAGTACATATCCACGATCCTGTATGCATGATTCAAACCCCAAGACTATTGATCTCGTGAACGAACTTTTAACATTCAGATCATTGAGTTAGCCAGCATTCAACACTGTAAATATCTAACTTCCATAGATCCATGATCTTGTATGATCCTTATTCATAATAGAAATGATAAAGTACAACATATATAAATCATTATTGTGATGATGATGATGATGATGAACTTACTCGATGAAGACCTTCTTCTGTAGCATCTAAACGTTTATTAGTTTGTACAGTTTGCCATAAATTAGTAACTTTTCTATAATTATCATTTGAATTATCTAATGAATTATTATTATTATTATTCTTTTTATTATGTATATCATTATCAATGTAACCAATAATATCTTCATTATTTGGTAAAGAATTCAATAAGGCTAATTGAGATTCAATAGTGGTTAATCTTTTCTAAAATTAAAAAAAAATAATCAAATAACAATCTATGAAGATGATAGTAGATGGTGATTACAAGGAATACTATTACTTTTATATAAGTATGCCATTTGAATGAATGAAGAAAACATTCTATGAAGTAAAGATGGATAATGGCTAAGAGTAGAATTTAAGACTCACGTTTCGTACTAATTCGGACTCATCGGCAATATCGAGGCAATATGCACAGGATACACATATGTTAATAAAAGATTGATCAATTACAGTCTTAATCGTCGGTGGGAAGATTCAAATAGAACAATATCAAGTGAATTTAATCTTTACCATATTGTATAAAAAAGTGGCTATCAGCACTCTGTAACTAAGTGGATAGCGCGATGGTTGTTTGAAGCGATCAGTACTGCGCTTGAGTCCCAAAGTGAACATTAATTCTGAGATGTAGCTACATCCAACCGATGAGTCTGAAATAGGACAAAACGCACGTCCTGTATTCCACTACTAATCACTATTCATCTTTGCTTATAATACTTGTAAATGAAGACAATATCAAGGCAGTTCGTACAGGATGCACATATGCCAACAATGTGGCTAATCAATTTTCGTCCTAACCATTAACAGAAAGATACAAGCAAACAATACCAGGTCGCTTTGTCTCAGTTTTCTCAAAAAAATAATCAAACAAAAGTAGACTTATGAGTAGACAATATTTAAAGCATTCATTTTAATGATAATCATCGAAGACTACACATATATTACAACATTGGTGTGCTGCCCCCAAATGCCCTGGTACGTCCGAGAGTGAGGAGAGTCCGCTCACCCTCTCGAAATGCTCCCACATGGCTATGCGTATATAGCCTCTGCCATGGAAGTCCTACTCACTGCTTTCTCGTGACGGGGCTGTTGTTTACGAAATTGAGAGGACGAAAAGCGAATGCCTGGAGCTTAAACCGGGTTAGTGGTCATGGAGAGTCCACTTAGGGGAGTGGGAAAACCCTGATTCCAAACCAATGGTGCACATGGACTCCAGTACCCTGAAGGAACAAATGGCGTATGAACCAATCGTTGGTCACCGGCTATCATGGGACTACATCTCCTTACGATGCTCTACCTTTAGGTCGAAGGCTCCGGGTGTGGCCCCTTAAGAAAACCACCTGCTTCGGTTTAAGCACCCGGGCAGTATCATAGCTCGCACATAAATCAAATGGGGTTTGTGTGTCGCATATGTATCTGGTGCCCTCTTGTACCAGTATGTATGTGTCCAAATAAAAATGTAATAGTAATAAATTGGTAGGTTTACAACGATCATTTGTTTTTAGCACAACTAATGATTAAATCCTACATTAAGTGTAAGATATGGAAACCCTGTGAATAATCTACTTCATTAATCCTAAACTATCATATATATACATTGATAGTGTAATTCAAGCCTATAATACCTTATTGGTTAAAAGATGAATGAATAGACCATTATTGTTCCATTGATGAATACGTTGAAGTAATCAGATGACTTTTAGAACTATCGATTTGTTTTTTGTTTTTGTTTTCATTTAATTTATTCTATTTTATGTTTCATAATGTCAAGTCACAAATGATCATACCTTGAGTGTTATCTTAATGTAGTCAGTTCACATAGTGAAACAAAACAAAAACCTCCCTCTTCTATATCATCATCATTATTATTATTCATGACTATTCTCTAAATAAGTTCCAATTGTAGAAACATGAAAAGAAACATTGAAAATTTGATTGAATAAGAAGAAAAAGAAAAAAAAGGAATGTTATATTCCATCCCTGTTGTATACTACTTATATCTATCAATATAAGTAGTATGTAACATCAATTTAAAGTTGAATACTCGGGAGCAACAAAAAAAATGGTTGAAAAAAAAGACTGAATGAAGGAGAATAGAAATAAGGGAAAGATAAAGTATGTAAAAAGATAATTAATAGAAGATGTGTCAAAAAAGTATTTTACAAAGATCTTTTTCATTGACAATCAATCACCAATTGATCTTTGTTCACAATATGCTTCAACAGAAATGGTGTTCAATGAAAGAAACATTCGAAATCTTCTATGCAATAAGGATGATATAAGTTTATAAATGAATTTTCAATTATGAAAATGAAAAGGAAAACAATATTGATTGATAAATGCCACTATGAAATGATATGAAGTGATTGTGTATCCATTTATACAATATAACTCCGCCTGGAGTCCCTCCGAGGGCTACTGACGGTCCGAAACCCGGATAAAGGAGGAGGGTTAGGCATGGGTTAGCGACCCTATCCCGTAGAAAACTAACCCGCTAAAACAATGCTAACCAGAAAAAATTATTCAAACCATTTCAACTGTGCCCTGGGAGTCAGAAGGTCTTCATTTAGAAGAGTTATGACGCCTCATGACGAAAGCCGAGCTTCTTCGGAAGTCACGAGGCCAATGCCCCTTCTGACAACCAGAGCAACCATTTATTTAGGTACATGGAATGCTCGTACAATGTGGGAGACTGGGAGAGCCTTCCAAATTGCTGCAGAAATGAGGAGATACAACCTACAGGTACTTGGGATCAGTGAAACACATTGGACGCAAGTTGGACAACAGTGACTAGCATCAGGAGAGCTTCTGTTATACTCCGGTCATGAAGAATAAAATGCCCCACATACACAAGGAGTTGCATTGATGCTGTCCAAACAAGCACAAAGTGCGCTTATAGGATGGGAATCTCATGGACCAAGGATAGTCAAAGCCTCCTTCAAAACAAAGAAAAAGGGCATTTCAATGAACATCATCCAATGCTATGCGCCTACCAACGGCTACAATGAAGACACTTCTACGATAGGCTACAGTCAATCGTACAACATGGTTACCAGTCAAAAGAATAAGTTTTAATTTCAGAAAATGATATACTTATACATGAAATATGGACAAAAAAATAAACATTATTGATCCTTTACTTTTCGATAGATTAAGATCTTAATCAGTTAGTTACAATGTAGGACAAGGCATACATATATGCATCGGTTCAAGTTGCGATACCTGATTAACACAATAAGATGAACACCAAATTAATAGAAGTAGTTACTTTAATGATATTCATATTTAAAAGAAAGGTTGTATATGAGGATATAATACAGGAAGAAAGAATTAGAAAGAAAGGTATAAAGTAATTTTGATCTCACAGCTTAAGGGAAGACAGAGAGTGTATACACCGACGCCATTGTGATCAACTCTGAGCCATGTCACACACAGTCTCCAACCTGTGGTTACAATAGTCACGCGGACCCCAACCAAGTAGTCTGCATCTGCCAACATGACTCAGACTAGAAGTTAGTGATTTCAAGCATTGATGGAACGTTTTGGTTTAACCGCCCCTAACTTTCTTCCAACCATCTTCAACACCGGTTAACATTGCACTTCGTGGTAATCGGTGTTCAGGCATACGTAACAGGTGACCTATAAAGATTCACAACCTCATCAACTGATTTACCATCATCCCCTAATACCATGCATCTAACCTCACTATTACTTGCCCAGTGATCCCAGCAGACGCCAGCAATATTTCTAAGACATCTGTGGTCAAATACTAGTAGTTTACGAGTATCTTCTCCAGTATCTTCTACTCTTAATGGCCACGTTTTGCAGCCTTAAAGTAGAACAGAACAAACTGCTGCATAGTATACTCGTCCCTTAATTGATAGACGAATAGCTAGCCTTCGTCTTAGGTGACGCAAGTTGGCAAAAGCTAAACGAGCTTTCTGAATCCGTGCAGACATTTCATCAGACACCAACCCATTAGGGTTATCTATCCATCTGTTACATTATTCATTTTGTTCAATGTTAAAGTCATCTGAAAAAAACATTCTACTGAAATACATAAAATCACATATAACTTTTGTTTAAAATAATTTCAATTTTACTCTTATACTTTACCATAGTTACTAAAATAATAACAAAAACGAGTAATCTGATAAACAACAACTTAATCATTGGAATATATTTCACATTTGATATACAAACATACATTTTAATAAAGATGAAGATTATGGAACAATTACATTCACAATAGTAATTTATTTGATTTTATTCAAATACATTAGTAATATGATATTGAAGTAATCAATCCATTGTGTATATGTATGTGTTTACACTATTCAAACTGAATTAGTTTCAGTGTATATTAGTTTGTGATTGAGATCATGGACCGATTGATGTTAGACCACCATTGAAAAACTTGGAAGCACTAGACAGCCATTTCGTCCTATTGTGGTACACCTTTGGATTGAACATCCACAATTCCTCTTTCGAGATTCAAATCTAAGACCTTCAGTTTCATGCGCGAACGTTTAACCCACAAAATCACTGAGCTGGCATCCAACGGTAATTATATGTAACCTCAACCGGTCCACCAAATTGCGTGATCATCTTCCATTGTACTGAGGCAGATACCTATCTCTACCCGACACGGGTTTGTTCGACTTGTCACGGCTTTTCATTAGAACTCTGAGAAATCCGTCACAAAGCTAGTCAGTAGTGAGTATATGGTAATTATCAGTATGGGATTGTGGAGATTTTGTTTGTATGCATAAATTCTAATGTACCTAGTAGGATGAAACGGCCGTCCAGTACTTCCAGGTTTTCATTGGTGGTCTAACATTGATCGGTTCACGATCTCAACCAATGACTTAATAATCTGCAAAACCCTATACTGGTATAATAGTTTTGTTGAAGATTATTCAACTGATAATTTAGAAAAAAAATGGGACGTTGAACTTCCCAAGCGCCTATTAGTCATCAAATTCAAAACCTTGATGTTATATCCTAGCGTATATCAGATTCTGAGAACTATTTATGGACTGTTATCATATATATTCTTGTTGCATAACTGTTAAGTAACTAAATTATGTGTATATATTTATAACCCTTTTATCATAAGCATTTATTTGACCTATTCGCTACTATCATACAAGTTGCTATTCTCGGGCTATTCACAATCTATTAGTTACAAATTCCCATACTCA